CTCCGGCCGGCCTGGGCCCCGGCCTCTCCCCTTTCCAGCCGCCCCTGCAGAGCCCGGCTCCTGCCCTCGAACCCCTCGCGAGCTCTAAAGTTGACCCTGTTGAGGCCCCGAGTCTCCCTGTCGTGCAGCGCGGACTTGTGCACGGAGCGCCCGGCCCTTGTCCTGGGTTACTGACCGGCCCCTGCCACCTCTCAGCGCGACCTCTCACCTCTCAGCCTGACCCCTCACCTCTCAGCCCGACCTCTCACCCCGACCCCTCACCTCTCAGCCTGACCCCTCACCTCTCAGCCCGACCTCTCACCCCAACCCCTCAGCCCGACCTCTCACCCCGACCCCTCACCTCTCACCCCGACCCCTCACCTCTCAGCCCGACCTCTCACCCCAACCCCTCAGCCCGACCTCTCACCCCGACCCCTCACCTCTCACCCCGACCCCTCACCTCTCAGCCCGACCTCTCACCCCAACCCCTCAGCCCGACCTCTCACCCCGACCCCTCACCTCTCACCCCGACCCCTCACCTCTCAGCCCGACCTCTCACCCCAACCCCTCAGCCCGACCTCTCACCCCGACCCCTCACCTCTCACCCCGACCCCTCACCTCTCAGCCCGACCTCTCACCCCAACCCCTCAGCCCGACCTCTCACCCCGACCCCTCACCTCTCACCCCGACCCCTCACCTCTCAGCCCGACCTCTCACCCCAACCCCTCAGCCCGACCTCTCACCCCGACCCCTCACCTCTCACCCCGACCCCTCACCTCTCAGCCCGACCTCTCACCCCAACCCCTCAGCCCGACCTCTCACCCCGACCCCTCACCTCTCACCCCGACCCCTCACCTCTCAGCCCGACCTCTCACCCCAACCCCTCAGCCCGACCTCTCACCCCGACCCCTCACCTCTCACCCCGACCCCTCACCTCTCAGCCCGACCTCTCACCCCAACCCCTCAGCCCGACCTCTCACCCCGACCCCTCACCTCTCACCCCGACCCCTCACCTCTCAGCCCGACCTCTCACCCCAACCCCTCAGCCCGACCTCTCACCCCGACCCCTCACCTCTCACCCCGACCCCTCACCTCTCAGCCCGACCTCTCACCCCAACCCCTCAGCCCGACCTCTCACCCCGACCCCTCACCTCTCACCCCGACCCCTCACCTCTCAGCNGACGTAAGTAACTTTCCCAGCCTCGTGCAGCTGGTGAGTGGTTAGGTTAGAATTAAACCCACTTCCGTCTATTTTCACTCTGTGCTTCTTCTGCGATGCTGCATGATCTGCACGATGTTAATTTCCAGACGCAGAGATGTTTCAGGAAATAGGCGGCTGTCATTAAGAGCACGTGTTAGTAACGTAAGGTCTGGACTAAGGAATAGCTCGGTAGATGACAGAAGCTGGATAATTGGGAAATAGTTCAACAGTCGTACCTGTAGAGCAGGGGTGGGGAACGTCTGGCCCTGCCAAGGCCTGGCCAAAGAGCATCAGTACCAGCCATCACGTTGGGGGTGAGTTAATTAAATGTTTGACCAAATAACTCAGGCTGATTTTTAAGTTGGTAATTTTGTGTGGCCTGAGAAAGATGTTATAAATATCCTGATGGCCCTTGGCAGAAAAAAGGTTCCCGACCTTGCTGTAGAGGCTGCTAGTTGGACATTTAGAAATGCTGCATCTTTCTCTGCCATGGGGCACAGGACATGGAGCCAATGCCATGACGTTGCATGTCCCAGTGCTGACCGTGCCTCCATCAGCTCCTCTGAACTGCGGACACTAGTTTGTATTCCTGGATGAGCTGTCTTCAGAAAGGTTCTGGTTTATGGGGCAGTAATTGAGAAGTTGAAGAGATGGTCCCATTCAGGGGACGTGCATTCCAGTCCTCAGTGAGGGAGGGCAGGGACTTGTTCCCTAGAAACAGCAATGCCCGGTGAAATCAGCCACATCCTGGGTTACGCAGCCATTGCAGACAGTGAGGAAAGTGAGATGATAAACTGCAGAGCCAGATCTGGATTCATACCGGCTCCATTAGGTTGTAACTACAAGAGCGTGGGTAAGTTGTTTGATTTCTGAAAACTTCAGTTTCCTTATGATACATACTGTTTAGAATTGTGAGAGTTGAATGAGATGAGGAAACAGGCTTAGAGGTTAACTCATTTATTCATGTAACAGCAAATAAAGTGGTAGAACACAGATTTGAGCTGGGGTGTAGGGATCCCAGGGCCTCCGCTGTGTGCTGATCACTTTGCATGGAGAAGCTAGACATGCCCAGGGTCACCTGCCTCTCTTGAGTGGGTTTCTTGTTTATATAAATGCTCAAAAATGCTGGTTTGTGATAAGAATCGCTGTACCTTCTGAGACATTTCAAGGCTACTGCAACTAGGATTTCATTATAGAACCAGTAGAGCTCACGCTAATCTACATGCTTTTGGGTTAATTTTCGTTATTTGGTCACAATTTCAAAATCCATTTTTTACCTGTTTTCAACAGTACATATTTTCTTTTATAGCATATCGGAGTTATCCCTAGATTCAACCCTCCATGCCATCAATCTGCACTGCAACAACATCTCCAAGATCGAAGCCATTGATCATGTTTGGAATCTACAGCATTTAGATCTGTCATCGAATCAAATAAGTCAAATCGAAGGGCTGAGCACACTGACCAAGCTGCGCACTTTAAATTTGTCTTGCAACCTGATCACAAGAATAGAAGGTTTGTAAGTGATTTTCTTGTAAAACTGTGAATAAGAAAGATGACTTAAGTCCATTTTTACCCTTCCTGAAATAATGAGATAAATAGTAAACTTTTGAAAACTGACCTTAAATTTATTATATAAAAATGTGTTTCTTCTAGAAAAGTTAACAATATTTTTAAAGTGTTTTGTAAAATACCAGCGAAATTGATTTCACTGTTATTTGTTTCAAAACAGTCTGAAATAGTATTGTCACCCTGTATAGCTCTAATTCATTGATTATTTGCATCCCATAAAAGCTTTATTTTATTTCATTTTATTTCAGGACTTGAGGCACTGATTAATCTGACTAGACTGAATTTATCGTATAACCACATAAACGATCTCAGTGGTAAGTAGACGTGCCTAATTTCCCTTTAACGCCAAATATTTGCCATGTGTGGTGCGTTGAACTGAGCTCAGCATATTGAAAACTGAATAACCCAATTTTTGTCACTCTCATCTAGGGAATGTGTTGATGTCAAAGCTACAGCTAAATGAAAAGTTGGAATGAAAACTAATGTGATCCGTAACAGAAAGAAACTTGGATCGAAAGGCCCTCCTTTGGGGCAAATGATATTTTAATCTTAGATGATTAATGAGTATCCCGTTCTAGAGAGAGGAAGAATTCCAGCAGAACTTTTTACAGGGATGAAAGTACTATCCATGTGTGCTGTCTGGGATGGCACCCAATAGCCAGATGTGGCCTCTGAACACTTGAAACTGAGTTTGTCATTTACTTTGAATAAAATTGTAATTTAAATTGCAAAGCCACCTGAGGTTTGTCCCACCAGATCAGAGAGTATGTGTGTATAACATCCCAAAGGCCAGGCAAATTGAGGACGAAATAAGTATTTTTTTCTTTTCAACTAAGAAGGTTAAAAATTGTTGCCTACTTTTTAACTGACTGCGGTGATACAGTTTCGTGGTCATTCCTCAGATAAGGGTAGAGCAGCAGTCCTAGTGGCCTCTGTGGGCCTCGTCGACGTTTGAAGCGGCCTTGTCCTCTCACTTGCTTTCTCCCTGCCAGAGAAACGCTCCTCGATGCCAGGTGTTAGCACATGGAAAGAGGAAGTGATCTGGTCCCCGCCCTTCAGCTGAAGTAGCAGCAGTATTTTAATTTTTCTTTACTTTTTCCCCAAAGATGTGAAGTAGGAGGATGAGTATGGGCTGTGGGTCTGTCACTGGTGTGTGCCGTGAGCAGAGCCTGTTACTTTCTGGGTGCAATTTCCTGACCTGAGCAATGGAAATCTTGGATAAGATAGTTCCTAGCTTACCACACCTTAGGTAAGCTGGGGCTACTGGTAGTACCGGGGACTGTATTTTATGCTCAAACCTACAGTGGAAGTGGACTCAGTGTCTGCTCATCAGAAAGGAGGCTGGGGCCCTTGTTTACGCTGCTCTGGAAGCACCTGCAGGGCCCAGGAGGCCGAGTGTTGTGTTTGAAGAGGAGAACTCACACCGGGAGCCTCTGTTCTAAAAAAACCAGTTGACTTGGCTGACCGTCTCCCGAAGTGCAGGGTTCACACTGAGGCCTCGCTCGTGCTGCACCTTCGCCTCGAAACAGACCCCACATCGGAATGTTCGGTGAGCTCTGGGGAAGTGGCCTCTGGGGCATCAGCAGGGTTTCCTCGTCTTGCAGGTCTGATGGCCCTTCATGGAATCAAACATAAGCTCCGGTACGTCGACCTGCACAGCAACTGCATAGACAGCATCCACCACTTACTGCAGTGCGTGGTGGGCCTGCACTTCCTGACCCACCTGGCCCTGGAGAAGGACGGCGAGGACAACCCTGTGTGCCGCATGCCAGGTGGGCCGCAGTGCGGGCAGCTGCTCTGGGAGCCTGCTTGCGTTTGTCTGAAGCCTTGCAGCTCTTCTTATGTGTTTGCAAATAAGTTATTTAGACAAACTAAGTTGCTGTTAAAAGAAGAACACGGTGAACAGGTTAGTTATTCTGTTTAGAGAGTCTCCTGTTTGAGCAGCGAGTGCTCTCGGCAGCCGTAGGAGATACATTTGGTAGCTGATGAATTCAGTTGATTCTAGAAGTGATTAGCCTCTTTGACACCTGAGTTTTCACTTTGAATGTCTTTCCAGGGTACCAGGCTGTGATGTTGCAGACCCTGCCCCAGCTCCGAGTCTTGGACGGCAAGAACATATTTGGTGAGCCAGTCGATCTGTCTCAGATGAATTCCTCAAGTGTGCAGTGCTTCGAAGGCCTTTTGGATAATTTAGTCTCGTCTGATTGTCCCCTAACTATAAGTGAAGATGAGGTATAGTATTGGGTTTACCCTGATGTAAAGAGCCTTCCGCTTGTAATTAACCAGCGTAACACTAAGGTCTAGGCTGTGTCTGTCCTAGATCATTGACGGCATGCCGATGGTGACAGCCCCCATGGGTGACATGGGTGACAACGTGGCCCCCCTGGACCAGTTCTCAAGCACACCAACCGACACTGGGCTGCCTGCCTTCATGTCCATGTGCCCGTCTCCTGAGCCAGAGAAGGCTAATCATGACGGCGATTTTCAGAATGAGATGAAGCTTCAGAAATTAGATGATCAGTTTTTACAGCTTCTCAACGAAGTAACTGTTTTTCCTGTTTTTCTAAGTTGTGTTTGTTGAAATAGTAGTTCAGAAAAGAAGGTAAAAACTGGTACAAGCAGACCAATCGGAAACACTGTACTTCATCCATGTGTGTGTCCGCCTGCCTACCCTCGTCTTTTCGGGAGCGGGTTGTTGCAGAGCTCTTGATGGGAGGGGCGGCATGCTTCCCCTCGCTTCCCTCATTGTGCTTTATCCCCTGTGTAATTTCTGTTGAGCTTCACCTTATTTCCACCAACTCACCTGTTATTTCAAAAAGAAGGAAACAACTCTTTGGACTCGTGTCTGTGAACATGGGGGATTGGGAGTCAATTTTTTTCTCAAAGATTTATTTATTTTTATTTTACTATTATTATTTTTAATTTATTTTTATTGCTGAAAGCATTACAGATGTCCCCTTATTTTCCCCTCTACTGCGCTCCTGCCCCCTCCCCAGGCCTTCACTGCATTATTGTCTGTGTCCATGGGTTTTGCATGTTTCCATATAAGGTCTTTGCTGAACCCCCTCTCCCGGGAGCAGGTCAGCCAGGGCCACTCCTCCTGTGGCAGGGCTGTTGGGTTCATTCTGGATCTTGTGATGTCACCATGTTGCTGTTAGGAGTCTCCAAAGGGTGTGGATATTTTTGTTGTGGCAGGTGATTGACTTGCTTTGACTTGAACTGTCACTTTGACCCTCGGCGGTTTGCTCTTGTCCTTTCCTGGGCTTCTTGCTGTCTCTGCGCTGTCCTGTTGATGGTTCAGCCCCAGAGCCTGGCTTTTCTACCTGAGTTGAAGACTCCGGCACAGTGTGACATGTTCTCAGGCTAACACCACAGGGACATATTTTCCCACATGTCAACTCCTCTAGAACAAGCCTATGTGTGCTCACTTCTCAGGGCCTGCAAGTCATTTTCGTTTGTTGTTTTGCTTGTATTTTCCCAGAGTTTATAACTTACCTTGAGAGAGTCGCCTGGTAAGAGCTTGTTTGTCCACAGCAGAAGCTGTCGCCTTTGTTTACTTTCAAGCTTGCTTTATAAACCCTTCATCTTGTAAAAGGCCAGCATGTTTCAGGAGATTTCAAAGTTTAGTCTTTTATACCGATGGAACTTTTAACAAAGTTTGTTGGTTTTTTATTCTAGACTTCTAGTTCTTTAATAGATAATGTTCCCGAGAAAGACGTGAGACCGAAGAGAGACACAGATGTGACTTCTGAGAGTGACTATGGAAACAGAAAAGGATGTAATAGAAAAATTCCTCGAAGATCAAAAATCCCATATTACTCCAAAACAATCCAGACTATTAGGCACCACAACAAAAACAACAACCCTTTCACAAGGTACTTGTTTCCGTTGTAAAATTCAGATAAGACACACAGTTAATTCTTCGGCTTCCTCCTCAAAGCTGTCTCATGGGATACCTTTTACTTTTCTAACGTCTGTGATGCAACTTCTCAGCCCTGCCACTCAGACTTGGTTGGTGCATCTGTGTAAATGTAGACAGAGGTTCCCTTTGTCTGGGACAGACTGTCCCTTCTCCAGGTATGGAAAATGGAAACATAGCACATTCTGTAGGTTATTTTCTGTTTTCTTCTTTGCAGTTATAATTATAAAGTGAAACAGCCTTTCTTTAAAGGCTTGTATATGAGATCATCTCTCGTGAGCTGTAACCAACTGGAGGAGACTGAGGAGCCGAAGACTGAGCTGATTCAAGTGGGCAGCAGTTGCTTAGAAGACAACACCTACCGGGTAGGGCTGAGAGAGTCAGAAAAATGAATGTCAGTGATCTTGGTTTCAGTTACAGCTAGTTCCAGAAAAATAGTGCATGTTCTTATGAGCAAAGCGTCGTGTGCATTTTTATTGGTGTGATGGAAATTAGTTCATTTTCCCTTCCTGGATTCCAGGTTTCCTGTGATGTTATTTTTGTAATTTCTAAAGGAACGGGAATTACACGCTTACTTAGGATCAGGTTCCAGTGAGGTCCTGTGTTGAGTCTTGGGGAGGAGGAAACTAGTCTAAACTCTCACATTTGTATTCCTTGAGCAAGTGGTTCCCAACTTTTGACTCCCAGACACTTAAATGTCTCAGGAAATCTGTGGGTCCTCTCAGTGTCTGCCTTTGTGCACACGTCCAGATGTGTGACAGACAGCTCAGGATTTTCAGGGACTCCTGGAACCCAGTTGTGGACCCACGGACTCCAGATGAAGGGGCATTGAAGAATTTTAAAAGCCTTCAATATTTGCTTGAATCATTCCCATGTTTTTAGTGGACTGATTTGCTTATACTTTTGTTTTGCTTGAGAAGCTGTGGTTCTGATTGTGATGTGCACTATTCTTCCAGTAGTATAACTGCTTTTTAAACAGTCTCCCACCTTTCCTGCTGTCATTTCCCCTCTTATTCTCACCTACAGAGGCTTTGATATTGGGAAAAGTAATAGTACCATCACTATGGCTGGAACGGCAGCTGACAGTCTGAGTGGCCATTGCCTGCCGGGCCTGATCTGTGCACTTCACTTATGTTAATTCAAACAGCCCTTGAATGAAATGCTGCTATTCCCATGCTGTGGATTAGAACAGTGAGGCGACGAGAGGTTAGGTAACTTCCCACTTCACGTGACACTAGTATTTTCTTTCAGAGACTTGTCACACAGCTCGACCAGGAGAGGGAGAAAAGGTGGAAAGCTGAGCAAGCTGAAAAGAAGCTCGTGGATTATATCAGTGAGCTGCATAAACACGCAAAGGAGAAAAAAGACATCCACAGCCTGGCCCTGCTCACCACGGACAGGTAACGGCACGTCCAAGCCTGCAGCTGGCTCAGCACGGGGAATGTGAACTTGGAGATCAGAACAGTGTCGTAGGTGAATTTAGCGCTTCAGTGGTTGGTTCAGAACAAAGGACGGACGCAGGCCCTGTTTATTGGGCTCAGCCGGAGGCATCAGCTTGATGGGTCTTCTGAGTGAGGCCCAGCAAGAGCTCCCAGAAGGCACAAGCTGTCCCATCTGTCCTGCTGGCCGTTAGGCCCATGCCGGGCACAGCCTGACAAGCGTTGTCCAGTTAGGTTTGCTGTGGACGAAGTTCACATGAGATGAAGTTTCGTTAATTCAGGAAGAGCGTTGTCTTCTGGGTGCAGTGTTATTTCAGGGACGGGAGGGAGGCGTGGTGCCATTTCTCAGCCTTTTCTTTTTTAACCTAATGAGAGTTTGAAACATGCTTCAGATCTTCTCCACTGTGACCTTTGATGTTGATACAGTTCCTGTTGTTTTAATGAGTAACATATACATCTGGTTTCTGCTTTAGGTTAAAGGAAATTATTTTTAAAGAGAGAAATTCCAAAGTCCAACTTGAAATTATGGTACACAGGCTTCAAAATGAAATTAAAAAACTAACTATTGAGTTAATTAAAGCAAGAGATCAGCAAGAAGATCACATCCGACACCTGAGATCCCTGGAGAGAGCGTTAGAGAAAATGGAGCAGCAGAAAGGGCAGCAGCAGGCGGCACAGGTGTGTCTTGGTTCATCCGTTGGCCCCGAGTGAATGACTGGCCTGGCTCTGGTCAGAAACAGTTCTGGCTACCCGGCGGGCTGAGAGGTTAGTGTACAGAGGTTAGTGCAGTGGCCAGTTAGCCCATGGAGTTGTTTTTGAATTAAGTCTCCTGCGCTCACAGGGCCATCAGACCTGGTGGACATGTTGCAGGTTGCTGGGGTTGTGTTCCCAGAACCAGGATGTAAAGGCTCTTTGGGGTGCCTGAAGGTTTGGTTGTTTTTTTTAATTGAATTTATTGGGGCAACATTGTTAATAAAATTTTATAGGTTTCAGGTGTACAATTCTGTAACACACCAGCTGTATACTTTTTTCTTAATCCCTTCATCTGTTCACCCAGGCCCGCACGCCTTCCTCTCTGAACAGTCGGTCTGTTCTCTGTGTCTGTGTCCATTTCTGTGTTCTGAAGGGATTTCACTGTCACACACACTGGTCTGGGTGAGGTGAGCAGTAGACAGTGCCAGTGTGTCGCATGTGTCTGGGTCTGGACCTGGTGTGGCCACAATATAGTCACCTGGGACCTGTTGAAAGTTGGCGTAGGCACTGAGGCACCACGTCCTGTTGTTAGAAGGCACTTTTCTCAGGAGCTGCTACAGAAATGGAGGTGGGGGTTTATCATCTAAGTACTGGGCTGTGTGTGTCCCCAGATGCGGCTTATTGAAGAGGTGGAGCTCAAAGCAGCCGCTGCCGACCAGGAAATAACTCTCCTGCGCACCTCCCTGCTCCAAGAGAAGGAGCAGGTGCAGCAGCTTCATGACCTCCTCACGCTGAAGGAGCAAGAGCACAGGTGAATGAGAACTCCTGAGAGTGTTATAGGCGAGCACAGGAAGGCATCTGCTTGGTTCCTCCCACTCCCCTCCCCCCCCTCCCCAAAACCAGCGGGGGCTGCGCAGCTGAGGTTGGCAGAGCCCACGGACACGGACAGCCTGTGTGTGCGGCAGAGTTGCCTCCTAGTTCAGTGGCAGCTACAGACAGGATGTACTGAGGTGCGGCTGAGACCCAAAATGGTGCAACATTTCTTCAAACCCAACCTAAAGGTGTCGTCATATATGGAGAACAGTCCATTGCCCTGCAAGCAACACATGTTCAGTCAGTCACATTCTCTACTCCTGTGGAGCAGCTGCTAACACTTCTGTGAAGGGCCAGGTAGAAAGGATTCCCGGCTTCACAGGCCACACCTGACTGTCCCAGGAAAAGTCTGTTTCCAGGAAAAGGCGGCAGGCTGAGGGTCCCTGGGTTACACTCGCCGGCCTGCCCTGAGTCCTCAGCAATGGAAACACTTTCAGCTGCTTGCCTGCAGCTGCCCCTGGCTAATTCCCTGATGTCCTGTAGACACGAAATGTTGGTGCTCTGGGGGAAATCGACATCCTGTGTGGGCAGGACACTATGAAAGATGGAAGGGAAATCATCAAAAACTCTAAAAGCTTGTACTTAGTTTCCTTTACAGATCTTTTTTAACGTCTTAAAGAAACCCAGCCTGGAAGTAATGTATTTTGTATTATAGACTTGATTTAGTCAAGAAAAATAGTGGCGAGCTCTAAGCAGTGAGCTCACATTTAAAGAAAAAATGGACGTTATATCAGAAGATTGGTGGGTAATTTCAGTTAAACTGATTTTTCCCTTACCCAGCCACTGGTCCCAGTGAGGCTGCATGTGGTGTATGTCAGACCCGGCTGTAGCGGAAGGGGCAGGAGGCAGAGCTCCTGCAGGGCCACTAAGAACCCTGGGACGGCCCTGACTGTCTCGGGAACTTAGACGGGAACCCTCCTCTGACCCTGTCCCTACCAAGCAATCAAGTAAAATTCACGTTCCTTCTCTGTCCTTCCCAGTTTCTGTGTTTGAAGGTCAGGAGCTTACCTTGAGTGACGGTTAGGGATAGAGAATATTTAGTGACTACAGACCTTTAAAGTTTTTCTTTTCAGGGCAACAGCATCTTGTGATTGTTGCTTGTTTTTCATTCCAGGAAAGAACTTGAAACAAGGGAATTTTTCAGTGATGCTGAGTTCCAGGAAGCCGTAGCCAAGGAGGTGGCTAAGGAGGAGGCAAAGCACGAGCAGGAGATCAAAGCATACCAGGGAAAAATCGATGCCTTGAACCAGCAGTACCTGGACTTGGAAAACGAGTTTCGAATTGCTTTAACTCTCGAAGCCAGGAGATTTAAAGATGTAAGAACTGGCATTTAGCTTTTCAGTGAAAACAGAACCAGCCACGTGTGATGAGGGACCCCCATGTTAGAGTTGTAGTTCTGTGGACACGCTGGCTCTATGACCTTAAGCAGATCCCTTACATTCTTAGAGCGCTGGTATCTTCATGGAGATGATGGCACTCTTCTTGCTGTTGCCAAAGCCCAGGGAGCTTGTGAATGGTCAGATGCACAGAGAGCTGGGAGGCCTAGATTCCTGTGGCTGTGGGGCAGGGAGTGCAGACCAACCTGGCCGGGCATCTGTCACGTGTTGTTAGAACACGGATAGCCACGCTCTGTGTCGCACACAGCAGACCACATGACCTGCCCTCAAAGCAAGTTATCTATGAATTTTATCCTTGTGCTAAACATCTGTGGTTCTAAACATGAGAGAAGTAAGCTGTTTCCAGAAACAAGTATGTTCTAAATATGTGAGAACTGCTATTTATAATGCAATTTTAAAATATAGGTTAAAGATGGTTTTGAAAGTGTTGCAACTGAGTTAGCAAAGAGCAAGCATGCTCTTGTTTGGGCTCAACGGAAAGAAAACGAGTCTTCCTCTTTAATTAAAGATCTGACCTCCATGGTGAAGGAGCAAAAGGCAAAGCTGGCGGAAGTCTCCAAACTGAAACACGAAACAGCGACGAACCTGCAGGTGAGATGTCCTGTCTTTCTGTTCAGTTTGTTAGGTGTTTTTCCTGGTGCCCGCAGTGTTGAGAGAGGTACAGTGCTGAGGTTCTAAATAATACCAAGCATCTGACATGTGCGAGACAAGTAAACTAGGAGGTGAACCCTGATTTCTCAGAGTGTGCTGCTTACACTGAAATAGTATTTAAATGAAATAAGTGAATTACTTTTTTAAAACATACTGGGTAACCAGGAACCAGTTGAAGTGAGAGCAAAAATTGCGATGCCCAGATTGTTGAGCTTTGGGAAATAGCATGTGGGTCACTGGCATTACTTTTGTATGGTGGTGCTTTTTTAGATATACCTACTATAATAATCCTAAGTTAACTTCTGTTGTCACCATTTTAAATATTAGGGACATTTTGCCAAGAGAACTTCCTTCCTGCAAATGACCCCTAGGCCACTGATGTAAATGCTGAGAAATTGGAGCATTGTAAGTGTGGTGCTCTTAGGGTGTTAGAGTAAAATTCAGAGAGTTTGAAGGAGTGGCTTCTTATAATTTGATTTATTTCCTGACCTACATTTATCTTTAGTGAATAAAACTTTTTCTGATGTAAAATTGAGGAACATTTACCTGGTATTGGCTTAAATAACATTTTTTTCTTACTATAAAATATAAGAAGTGGGAAATAGAGAAACATTTAAGTATAACAGCTGCTTTGTGTCTTCCATGTTGGGGAGTATACAGAATCAGATCAGCACCCTGGAGCTCTTGATCGAAGACGACAAGCAGAAGAGCATCCAGATCGAGCTGCTCAAGCATGAAAAGGTCCAGCTGATTTCTGAGCTTGCAGCCAAGGAGTCGCTGATTTACGGGCTGAGGACAGAGAGAAGAATGTGGGGACATGAGCTGGCACAACAGGGTAAAATTCTCAGATTGTCAAGGGAAACTACCCATTTTTCTGAAGGAGCAAACCTGTATATTGGAGAGGACATGAAGGGCTTCCCTGTCCCGCAGCCTGGAGCCATGGCCGCTCTCATCGCCTCCTGGAAACAGGAAGTGGTTTATTATACCAACTGGGAGTGCACCCTGAGACCTTGGCCGCTCTTCCTCCCAGTGTGATCGGGCTACTTTTCTGAAAAGGTCTACCTTTGCTGTGCTACAGCTGAATGAGTTGTTGAAAGCACTTCTTTCTCCTACAGTGATTTTACGTTACTTGTACAGGTGCAGCGTTCTGTTCTCTTCTAAAACTGTTGCTAACAAGTATCTTGTTACACGTGGAGAAATGGGAAGTGGTGTGTGGATGGAAACCACTGTCCGCTTAGGTAACCTGGTCAGTCCATTCCCTTCTAGTCACTGGACAGCAAGAGGTGGCCCATGCGGGGCACTCAGGATGCCTTACGGATGTTGGCTCACCTATCAGTCCACATGGGAGTGTGGCGTGTGGCCTGGTTGTGTGTATGTCATATCCTGACAGTCAGGGCCTGTGTAAGTTCTTGGTGTGGGGTTTTAGGTGTGTAGCTGCCTTTTTGTTCTCTGGCCCTGTCCCCTTCATCCTGTGCTGTTGTGTGTCTTGTTTCTCTAACCAGATTCCCTTTTTACTTACTGTATTAGCACATTATTAAATTAGATGTTCGTAAAAGGCAGACCCTCTCGTCTCCAAAGCTTACTGCTGGTGTCTTTCCCAGGATCCTGCCTGGCCCAGGACCGCGGGAAGCTGGAGGCGCAGGTGGAAAGCTTATGCCGAGAAAACGAGTCTCTCCGGGAAGCACGTGAGCAGGACAGTGACGCACTGCGGATTAAGTGCAAGGTCATAGAGGACCAAACTGAGACCATCGGGAAGCTGAAAGTTGTAAGTGGGAGCTTTACTTTGGGAAGACAGCATATGGCAGGTTTGAGGATCAGGGTCAGAGTAGAGTATCCACTAAACGTTTGTCCCTGTGAATCCAGCTGCTGTGGAAGTTAGGACAGATTATCAGTTTCCTTTGCTTTTTAAAAGTGGTATGTGGCGTTCACTTACTAACTTGAAATTACTTTTACTTCAGTGTTTTATGGAGAATGTTTCTATTACCTTTTGAAATAACTGGAAATAGTGTCGCTGAATGGTTAGGAACCACAAGAAATTAAACCTTTTATATGTTTAAAATACCCCTTTAGAGCATGGTTTAGTACCTCTCACTATTGCTAACTCACTTCTCAACGTTATGACAAGCCTACTCTCCTATACTGTGGAAAGGTATAAGAATTGACGGCAAGATCCACGCCTGTCCCAAGGACTCCATGCACCCCGCCCTTCCCTCAGCGGGGCCTGTCCTAGAGGATGCTGACAGATGGCTTGTTTCAAAGCATCTTACTTGGAAACTCTCCAGAGAAATTTTCTGGAAATTATCTTGAGCGCTAAATCAAACTTGAATCCCCAACTTTTCTTCTAGAAGTTATCTCTTAAAGTATAAAAATAACTGAAAAGGGAGGCTTTAAAGAAATTTCTGAATGGGGCTATCACCCTAAAATTAGGGGTTCATTCTTTAGACGGATTAAGTACCTAAGATTTTATTTTTTTTCTTAGTCATTTTTAGGAAAATCCTTGAGAACTTAATTTCATCAAGTACAGAAAATAAACCTCCTGTTTACCCCATGTTGCTTTCTGGGCACCTAGATGGAGGCGTGACTGCCTGGCCTGTGTTCCCCTGAACAGTGATTGGTGTTCACTCAGCTGAAGCTTTGGTCTCAGTGTATCCAGTATTTTAGACATACCTATCCCATGTGCAATTTACTAAGATTACTGACAGTTCCTGAGATTTTTTAGCAATAAGCCCTTTTTCTTGTTTTAAAAATCTAGCCAAGCTTATTTTCTTTTGAATCAAGGTAAATATGAAACAGAAAGACTAGTGGTTTGTATTTAAATTTCACAAGGCAAAGCAGACACTATTTGGTACAATGCCTTGCGTTTGGCCTAACCGCACAATAGGCCTGGTGCCTCCTGGGTCTGAGAACATGCAGAGGTAGCTGGGCACAGCTCGTAACTCAAAAGGGCAGTGGCCTAATCGCAAAAGTGGGAGCTCGACGTTTTCAGCTGAGTAGATTCAGTAATTGGCTTTGGGCTGTGGAAGTCAGACACAGAAATTTTTGAGATTCTGCTTCCTCGCCGTGTATTATTTTGGTATTTTCAGTATATATGGATCAGGAGACTCGGGTGCTGCAGTGTTATTCTGATTAATAAGAGGTTGTTTCATAGTCTTCCATGGCTTGTGTGGTTTCCTAATGACCTGTGTGGGGACTGCCCACTCCTCAGGGAGTCGTGGGAGAAAATGAGCAGTTCATGGCTCATGCGAATGTTGGCTGAGATCCCCCGGCTACCTCTGCTTAGAGTGTTGAGCTCTGACACCCTGGGGAACTGAGGCACACTCCGAGACTGAGAATCCGTCCTTAAGTCAGACTTGTCCGCATTCGTGTGCCTCCTTTTTCCCAAGGGAACAGAAGGCAGTGGGGTAGGAGAACCAGGGCAGAGAGAGGACCAGCTTCTGTCTGCGCACCTGCAGCGAGTTCCCTGGGACGCCTGAGACCTGGAGCCTGCAGACAGTGCCCGTGCCCCAGGCGGCTCCATCCCCACAGAAGGCACAGGGAAGGCCCGTCTGCGCCAGCCCTGGGTCCTGAAGTCGCACATCGTTCTACACATCTGCACAGCAGAGAGAGTCTAACCTGTGCCTTTCCATCCCCTACAGCTATCAGCCACCTAGAGTTTCTCTCTTTCTGTCCTGAAAACATTCTTTCAAATGCAGAACTGTGTTAATTGGTTTTCTTTGTGCTGCTTCCTCCTTCCCTTCCACTCTGTGACTAGTAATTACTAACTTCCTGAAATAAAGAGCAGGGCTAGACAAACTCGCTCTTAGTAGCACTTACTGTTCTGTAAATCTTCTCTAAAACACTCATTGAACATTCGATTTATTTTTAATTTGTAGTTTTTAAAATAATTTTAAGCCATAATTAGGAAATGCAGCATCTAGGATTAATACTTATTATTTTCTTAAAGTGTTTACAGGAAAAAGAGGAACACATCAAAATACTACAAGAGAATGTCTCTGAAATACAGAAGTGCACCCAGGAACAACTCGAGGAAAAGTCCTCGCAACTGGATGACATAATCGAGAAGCTAGAAAGACACAATGAAAGAAAAGCAAAACTAAAGCAGCAGCTGCAAGCAAAGGAATTAGAACTTGAGGATATTAGGAAAGCTTACAGGTGTGCTCCAGTATTTCCCATTGAGACGTAAACCGTGGCTTAATCACTTTGTGTAGCCGATTTTATCTCTAACATTGTCCCCTCTCCCGTCAGCACCCTTAACCAAAAATGGCACGATAAAGGGGAGCTCCTCTCTAACCTCGAAACACAAGTGAAAGAAGCTAAGGAGAAGTTTGAGAACAAGGAAAGGAAACTGAAAGCGGAAAGAGACAAAAGTATTGAACTTCAAAAGTAAGTATGAAGCCCCAGAACAGAACACGGGAGGGGTGAGGTGGGAGGAAAGGCAGGGGAAGCTGGAAGCAGCTTTTTGCCAGGTACTTGATCTCCACTCCATCCTTCCATCCTAAAGGGAGGCACTAGCTCCCCTTCCTGTTGATGTGAGTGAGCCCTAAGTTCTGTGTCTGAGTGTTTGTAGGAGTACAGTGCCGACATGTAGTAATTACTGTATGAACGTTTGTTTTCCATACTGGGCTTATTGTTTCCACGCTGTTTGAAAGTGGCGAGTGGTGTTTGGCTGTTGTGTGTGGCTGTCAAAAGAGTAGGTCTCCTGACCTCCAGGGCACTGCACTAGGGAAGGGAGAGCTCATTTCAAAGCAGGGGAAGAAGGCGTGTGTTCCTGGGTGCCCGCACCTGTGGGCTTTGTAAATGCTCTAGAGGAAATGCAGGTTTTATCTTGTAAACTCTATAACTAGACTTGTTAAAATAATTTACAAAGTTAGCTGCCTTCAAAATAGGCAGCACAGTGTCGTGATCAGTCTCGTGTCGAAATAGAGTGGAGTAAACAGCGTGGCACATGGACGCCCATGGCAGTGGCTCCACTCCAGCAGGTCTCATGGGACCGAGAATCGGATTCCTTGTGTTCTCACTCCCTGAGATCGGAGGTGCTGTTCTCTCCCCTCTGGAGAGGTTTGACTGACAGCAGTCACTCTGTCCTCTACCCTCCCTCTTGTGCTGTGCTCTCAACCAGCTGACCAGAATCCTGGGCTCGGAACCTGCTCCACCTTCTCTCCTGCCCATCACGGCTTTGCGATTGGCAGTCCTTTGGGTCCTAGAAGACAGAATCATTGCCTATAAATAGCACTTCCTGAACTTGATAAAAATCACAAAGCCCAACAAGTTTTAGAATCTCATATTTTATTGTTAAATGTATCATTAATGGCAAACAGTAGACCTGATTTTCTGTGTTCATGCCTTATGTCTAAGGTTGGTATATGTGATTTTTAGTTCAGTGGAATCTTAATAAGCAAATTATTGTTAATAAAAAAGATTTTATGTGTATAGTTTCTTAATGTATAAGTTGATCTTTTTCTTACATTTTAATCTGTTTCTATTTATTTTAAAGAGAGAAACATAGATGAGAGAGAAACATCAATCCTCCTGCACACCCCCTACTGGGGATCAAGCCCACAAACTGGGCTTGTGCCCTGACTGGGTATCAAACTGTGACCTGGTTCATAGGTCGATACTCAACCACTTAGCCACACCAGCCAGGCTTTTCTTATATTCTATTTTGAACCCAGCAGTAACTGTGAAGTTGGCAGAACAGGCAGGATGATTCTATTTTATATTGAAAAACCTGTGTGGGTTTCACTTGTTCTCAGTCATGTGGTTACTGTGTTGCAACTGGGAATAAAAGAAAGGCTCTGACCTGTGGTCCTGACATTCAGTCCACTGTCTGTGGGTGACGCCAACGCCAGAAAGTGTGTTCATTATGGACTTACTTTTTAAATGAAACCTTCGCTTATATTTAATGTAAAGGAATTGGTGTTTTGCCTCTAAGAAACTTTTAGCACTAAAATGTGAATACTGTTTAATGTGTTTATTAACCTAGGGTTTTATCTGTCAAGCATTAGTGCAGGTAAGTCAGACATACTTGTTTATAAATGTAAACCTGCCTATAGTATACACTTCTCAAATAATTATCACACCACAAGTGCATGGAGGGGGAAAGACTGGTGGTAGTCACCTATGAAGGTGCTTATCAACCACGCCCTAGACTCAGAGGATAGGAGAGCCAGAGCATATGGGCTCCAGACGGGGAGACTGACACACGTGCAGTGCACGAGGTTCCCCTGCTCTGGTCTGCTGCTAACCGATTCTGCTTGGTGGGAGGCGTATCGTTACCCAAGATCCAGAGCCCTCTGCTATTTAGAGGAGTCATGCATGCATTGAAAGATGAGTGTAAGAGCTGCCGTCTCAAGAAAAACACCCTAACTTTTATACACACAGAGACATGGGTCTTGTTTTCTGTCCCAGGGATGCTATGGAAAAGCTCTCTTGTATGGATGATGCCTTTAAAAAACAAGTGGAGGCGATTGTAGAAGCTCATCACGCTGAAATAGTACAGCTGGAAAATGAAAAGCAGAAATGTATTGATTCTGCAAATATAAAGGTACTGTATGTAAACTGAACTTGATTACCAGTATTGAGTTGTGCAGCTAAATAAACAGATTTATACAGAGAAAAGCCAGTATGATTTAATGACCAAACAGATATGAAGAATGTTGCCAGAACCATCGTGAAGCCAGGCCAAAGCATAGGTGATGTGTAGGCTGGCTGTAGAATATGCTAGTGATGAAACCAGCTGTGCACCTGCTCTGTGCTCAGGGTGAGAACTGCCACCTCCCCAAGAGTCTCAGAGGGAAGCCCCTTCACCTGCACACAGGTGGGTGGGGACTGAGTGTATTCAATATGGAAAAGTTCTGAAGCAGTGGTATTTTATCAATAATTAGGGCTCAGGACTATCAGGTTTGTCATATTACGATCATTGACAGAGGAGCTTTAATCATACACACTCATGGGCTGCCCCTGAAATTTCTGTTCACTGTCTGGGGTCAGACCCAGGTGTTTTTCAAACTCAACGTGTGATTCTGATGGAACCTTCTGTTGAGATCTGCTAGCTGAGGGGACAGCTGTGAAATTCCATTTTTCCCTGATGAAGTGGTAATAGAAACAGATACAATAGTCCCCCACCCCCCCAATCTGCCATTTTGCTTTCTGAAGTTTTGGTTACCCGCATTCAATTGTGGTCCAAAATAGCAAATGGAAAGTTCTAGAAATAATAAGTTTTTTAAATTGCACACCATTTTGAAAAGTGTGATGAAATCCATCCCAACCTGCCCCACCCTGGACGTGAATCATCCCTTTGTCCAGCGTCTCCATGCTGTACGTGCTTCCTGCCCATTAGCCACTCAGTGGCCACCTTTGTGATTAGATCAACTGTCATGGTTTTGCAGTGCTTGTGTTCAAGTAACATTTATTTTACTTAATAACGGCCCCAAAGCACAAGAGTAGTGATGCTGGCAACTCGGACATGCCAAAGAGAAGCTGTAAAGAGCTTCCTTTAAGTGGAAAGGTGAACATTCTGGACTTAATAAGGAAAGAAAAACTCGTATGCTGAGGTTGCTAAAATCTACAGTAAGAACGAATCTTCTATCGTGAAATTGTGAAGAAAGAGAAATTCATGCTAGTTTTGCTGTTGTACTTCAAATTGCAAAAGTTACAGCCTCAGAGCATGGTAAGTGCTTCGATAAGATAGAAAAGACTTTAAGTTTCTGGGTGGAGAACATGGACAGAAAACATGTACCGATTGATGGCAGCGTGTTGCTCAGAAAGCACTGAGCCTGTGTGAGGACTTCAGCAGGGACCCCTGAAACGAGCGACGCCAGGCCATTCACTGCAGGTGAGGGTGGTCACGGATTCAGGGATGGGTGTGGCATTTATCAGTTCATGTCATCTCGGAAATAAGGGTGAGCACAGTGCATACAGCAGAGCAGGATGTTCTGAGACCACGTCATGTGCCTTTCATTAGTCTCTTGCTCTAGTTTTTCTGTTTTATTGTAATCTCTTGCTATGCCTGTTTTGTAAATTAAGCTTTATCATAGGTATGTGAGTGTAGGAAAAAACGTAGTGTAAAGGGGTTTGGCACTATCCGTGGTTTCAGGAAGCCACGGGGGGTTTGGAACATTTCCCCCTGGGTGGGGGATGACTGTCTCCTGTAAAACCAGAGACTCAGACGTCAGCAGCTGGAAGAGCCCAGTAGCAAGGGACAGGAAGACTCCGTGTCATTACAGTGAAGGTCCTGTGGTTAATGGGCGTCGCCCTCAGGAGTCTGAAGAGAGAGGAGGGCTTTGGAAATAATCGCAGTGAATGAGTTCAGAAGTATGACTTGCTCAAAATTTAGTTCTTTCTCCATGTCAAGTCAACAGACGTTTCAGCTGTTTTATTCTAGGCCTGCCCAGTGTTTGGCAAGGGTACGTCAGGTGCTAAGTCTCAGGTTCTGCCCTTACTTAGCTGAAAGTGCCGAATTCAGTTGGCCTCCTGCCAATATGATGTGATATTAAAGGGATGGATCTGTCGGAGTTAGAGAAGCGGTACCAGAGTGTCCATGTGACGACAAAAAGTGAGGCACCACATAAAGATGGTGATTTAAATTAGGAGAAATATTAGCTTCCTGAGGGAGGCGGCGTAGGAAATCTATATTAGAGACAGGAGGAGGGATGGACGTAGTGAAGCCCTGTCAGGAGAGCTGTGCCACCAGGGAGAGTTTCAAGCAGAAATTAACAGTATTGACGACAGAGAACTCTAATGATAAAATGACCTCTTTAAAAGATGGCAGTTTATAACCAACAGCAACTGTAGAAATGCGCTCGGGACTGCAGCAGAGTATCTTTGGGGAGGGAGGTTATGTTGGGTTTGAAAGTCCATGAGGGCCGAGATGAAGCCAGAGGATGGCGTGACTGCAGTCATGGCAGCGCAGGGGGTGGTGCGGAGATGAAGCCAGAGACTGTTTCTGCCCAGATGCGCTACTGAGAAGCTGCATGTCTTTCAACAAATGGTCTAAGCTCAAAATAGAGTCTAAATAAATCACGATGTGTCCATCGCCAGAACCTATGAGAAATAGATACTGTACAGTACTTTGTCTACAGCATAAACATTGTTTCACAATTAGTATTTGAACAAATAACCTCTTTGCTTTAAATAAATGTCACAAAATGGACAAGAATATATTTACTTTTTTTTTTCCAGAATGCATTTTTTAAATCTAAGAAATTTAAAAGCAAAATTTGTATTTGATTTAGGTTCACCAAGTTGAAGAAGAAATGCGCGGACTTCTGCAAGAAAACTGCAAGAACAAAAGAGCAATGGAAGCCAAAATTAAGCAACTTGCTTTTGCTCTAAACGAAATCCAGCAAGACTTGTGATGTTTCTGAGAACGAATTCAATTGAAACGGACCAGCACACCTATTGTAAAAATGATTAAATATTGTAACAGTAGTAACTGCTATGACTTTGAAATGTCTCTTTCTACACATTTCATTCTGATTATATTTTAAGACTTTTGAAAAAGTACTTAATTGTATATGTAGATTTTTATAATAAATTTTTGATAATTATGTGTATTAGAAAAACTGATCAAAATCACTAGACTTAAGACACTTTTTTGTTGTGCTATGCATTCTTTGGTAATGACACATTTGCCTATAAATATGTAAGTGAAAATTAAGATTAGCCTTTGACTATATTAGGAAAAGTATTTTAATGGTTTTTGTTGCCTTATTGTGTTGATGAAGAACTAATTATATTTATTGGTTGTCATTTAGTTGATGTAGCTCCATTCTTTCAAAACGCTCATATGTAGAGCCAAAAAGTATCTGAAATTTGTATGGTCAGAGATGTGGCACTCGTAAAAGCATATGTTGCCATTTCCACATCACTCATAATGACCCCTTTTTTATAATGTGGATGACTGTCATTGAAGGTTACACTTCAGGTTTTATAAACTTTGTCTGGTCCAGAGGAACACTACTGTCCCACCCTCCTCTTCTCATTTTTCCTTTTAATCACTATTTATATGAAGAGAATTCTTACTTTGCACCTGGAAACCGTTTTCTCCCATTTCATCCAGTCTTTTATTACAGCTTCACTTTTGTCATCTCTTAAGTTCCTATATATGCAAAACAAAAACCTAAATATTATTCTCCCTGTTTTTGAGAGAATATAATAAATACCATGTTTTTAAGTAATAGCCAGTGAACTAAGTTTTCAAAATTAAGTGGAATCAGAAAAAAATGTAAATGCTCCTAAAAGAGAGGGCCATGTTTCATTATGGGCAAGCTTCACACTGACCCCTGTGGGCCGGCATTGAGCACACCAAGAGGTAATGGGAGTCAGGGAGCGGGGCACAGAAATATTTGGGAGGATAATAGCGGAAACTTCCCGAGTTTGATGATAAAGGTCAACCTACAAACCCAACAATTTCCATAAAACCCAGGATAAACACGAAGAGAACCACACCTAGACACTATAGTGAAACTGTTGGGAAAATCTTGAAAACAGGAAAATACGGTTTATCTCACATAGCGGAGCAATACAATTAACAGTTGACTTCTCATCAGAAACAGTGGAGGTCAGAAGTCAATGAAGGACTTATTTGAAGAATGGGAAGACAAGGAACTGTCAGTCAAGAATGCTACATCCAGCAAAACTACCCTTCAAAATAAAGACAGGAAATGTATTGCTAGCCAAACTAACAGAAAAGAAACGTTAAAGACCGTCCCAAAGGCTGAAAGGAAATGATACCAGATTGTGACTCAAATCCATTGGAAGAAATAAGTATTGGAAACAAGCAAGGGTAAATTTTTATGAGACTAAATATATTTGTCTTCTATTAGAAGACATTATGTAAGGCAGTTACAACACTTGGATTTATAGCATATATGGATATGGTATGTGTGACAAAAATAGTATGAAGTTGGGCGAACGAAAATACAGCTATATTGTAGCTTATTTTAACCAAGTTAGTACTGACGTAAAGAAGAGTGATAAATTAAAATGCATATTGTGATCATAGTTGAAACAGAACAGGTTCCACTTCCAGAATGGAGTGTGAAGAACTGTGCTGACCTGTTTCCCAGCAAAACAATGCTAACGGGCAAAGAGGATATTAAAATACCCATTTAAAGTCTCTGAAAATTGTCCTAAGAGCTTGCAGCAAGTGAAGGCATTTGTTGAACATTTACTAAATCTCTGTTAACAGCAAAAGCCTGAGGCACTGAGGCACGGCCATGTCCCCTCACCTCCCACTCAGCCTCATGGAAACTCCGAGGTGGACGGTTGTGGCCTTGGAGAGGGGTCCCCTCCCCTCAAGCTCCATCAGGCACCTGGGTGGGCAGGCTGACGGCCTTGACCATGAGCTTGAGGAGGCAGCAAGAATCAGTTTACTACAACGGGAGTGAAAGCAAGGGCGTCATCATAATGGGATGGGAGGAACCCCTGGGAGTTGGTGACTGTTGATGGCCTTGGCGCTGATCGTTTCATGGCCTGTACTTAGCCCCCACTCAGTAAGTGTTTTACATGTCAATTGTATCTCAATAAAGTGGTTTAAAAAGAAAAAACTCCTTGGGCAGTGGCATCCACAAGAACAGTGTTAGGTTCAGTTTGACAGAAGAAGGGTGAATCCTGCACTGACAAGGACAAGACGTTGCTGAAAGCAGAGGATGCTCCTGGGCCGGAAGCCTTGATGCTAGATGGCCATTCTCCCCGAGCTTACCTGCTTCAGGCGGTTCCCATGGAAACGCCCGCTAACTTGTTCGCAGAGGTTGCTACGGTGATCCTAAACATCAGATTCGAGGGGCCTAAAGTAGCCAAAACGATGTGGGAAAAGGAAAGCAGTCGGGGCCCGCGCGTCCTGATCTCAAACGCGAGGGACGCCGTCACTGAGCACGAGGTGGGCGCGCAGGCCTGGGACCCCG